TAAATTTAATTTTATTAAATTTTTTTATGATTTAAAAGTTTTACTATGTAGTTTAAATAGTTAATTCTTTTTAAAACAAGGTGGACTCTCCCAACCCTAAAGAAGCATGTGTCATAATGATACCTGGTACAAATGGCAATAGATGGTGGAAGCCGAAGATCTAGTAGCGCAAGTGCGTGATAAGGCAATTCCCATTTTTGAAGAACGATTTCCTGGAGCAGTTGCAGCTTTGCTTTTGACAATGCAACTAGCCATGTAGCCTTTGCACCAGATGCCCTTGTGGCTAAAAAAATGAACCTAAAATCAAAAGGCAAACAACCAAAAATGAGGTAATTTAAATATCTTGAAGTGCTACTAAGGAAAAATAGACTTTGAGCTTTATGTTTATAATTTATTGGACTTATGTCTGGATAAATCCAGGCATTGAGTCAATAAATTATAAATATCAAAGCTCAAATCTATTTTTTTTTGCGAATGCTCTTATTGTTGACAATTTTTTTTAATATGAACTTGTTTTAGATCTACGGTTTTTGGAAATAGAACCTTGCAAGATATGATTTTTCCTTTAGATCATGAGGATGTTTCACTTAGAGGGCAACCAAAAGGTTTATATATTGTGCTAAATGAACGTGGATTGTGGCGAGAAGGTCTTCTTAAAAAGTGTAAGAATGGATGTGAATTAGGGGCTAAAAGTTGTTGTGCAATTACAATTATGTCTAATGAACCTGATTTTTTAAAACAGAAGTGTCAATTAGAGGAAATTATTACTGCTAGAGGGCATAAAGTAATTTTTTATCCAAAATTTCATTGTGAACTCAACTATATAGAGAATTTTTGGGGTGCAGCTAAGTATTATACATGTACAAATTGTAATTACACATGGAAGGGATTGCAAAACACTGTTCCAAAAGGGTTGGATTCAGTATCTTTGTTAACTATTCAGCGTTTTTCTAGAAAAGCTTTTTGTTATATGGATATATATCGTAAAGGATTAACTGGAAAGATTGCTGAATATGTGGCAAAAAAGTATCATTCACATCGAAGAGTTCCAAATACTGTATTTGATGATATTGCTATTTTTTATAATGTTTAATTTATAATAAATAAATAAATAAATTGATGCTGTTAAAAAAATTTTAATAATATTATTGCAAAATATATGTAGTATGTTTTATTTACGAATATTATTATATTGTATTATATATATTGATATATTGGCCAATTAAATTGCTTATAATCTAATCACATGATTAAGCAAAATTTTGAAACATGTTTGTGTAACAGTCTGTCTTTAGCTTGTATGCACTATA